GTGAACCCGGGAGGCGGAGCTTGCAGTGAGCCGAGATCGCCCCACTGCACTCCAGCCTGGGCGACAGAGGGAGACTCCGTCCCAAAAAAAAAAAAAAAAAAAAAGAATGCCCCCACTTCAAATGCTGATCGCAAGTCTGGCTCTGTGGTACTTCTGACCCACTGGCTATGAATCAGAGATTCCCACAGCCCTCTCCTTGGGTTCAGTGATTTGTTAGGATGGCTCATAGAACTCAGGAAGACAGTTTACTTACTAGATTGCTGGTTTATTACAAAAGGAAAGAACTCTAGAATAGCCAGATGGAAGAGACGCATAGGACAATGTATAGAAAAGAGCCAGGGAGCTTCCATGTCCTCCCTGGTGTAGACCAAAAGTAATATTCTAAGTCCCCTAATAGACTGAATGAACCCTCCTCTCGACCAAGGGGATTCCAAACTAAACCTGAAAAACTAGTTCAGGTCGTAATTGGAAGAGGTGTTTGGACATGCTTCATTATACTCTCCTCCCTTTGGAATTCAGGCACAATTGACCAGTGTGAAAGGAAAATAAATCTTGGATCGCCAAGTTAGTGTAAACCCAGAAAATTTGAGACAGGTCTCAGTTAATTTAGAAAGTTTATTTTGCCAGGTTGAGAACATGTGCCTGTAACAACACAGCCTCAGGAGGTCCTGACAACATGTGCTCAAGGTGGTCAGAGCACAGTTTGGTTTTATACATTTTAGGGAGACGTGAGACATCAATCAGTATGTGTAAGATGTACACTGGTTTGGTCCAGAAAGGTGGGACTACTGTAAACAGGGGAGTGGACTTCCAGGTCATAGGTAGATGAGAGACAACCAATTACATTCTTTTGAGTTTCTGATTAACCTTTCACTGAATGCACAATTTACATGTGAGAGGAGGGTAGAGGAATAGTCACGTATGCCTTAGTCTAGCTCAGTGAAACAATATGGCGGGACAACTCAAAGCAGGGAGGGGCTTACAGGTCATAGGTAGACAAGAGACAAATGGATGCATTCTTTTGAGTTTCTCATGAGTCTCTCTAAAGGAGGCAATCAGATATGCATTTGTCTCAGTGAGCAGAGCAGTGACTTTGATTAGAATGGGAAGCAGGCTTGCCCTAAGCAGTTCCCAGCTTGACTTTTACCTTTAGCTGAGTGATTTGGGGGCCCAAGATACCTTCCTTTCACATTTCCTCCTTTTTCTTTTTAAAAATCTTTTAGAGAAAGCATTTTAGAAAAAAATGAGTCTATCGTCTCAGGTTTCATCTGATCTGTCATGGCTAGGAAGGTTTATTTCTAGACAAGTAGGTCCTGAGTTATTAGGAAAACTCATTTTTAGAAAGTTGTGAAGTGTCATGTCCTATGAAGAGAAAATGGAGGAGGAAGGGAGAACAACAACAACAAACAAAAGCACAATCCTGGAAAATCGCTATAAGCCACATGACTCTGAAGTCCATACATCGGTAGGCAGGTATGTAAGTGGCTTACGTCTGTAAATAGTTGCTGTTACTTTCTTCTGAAGCTGTCTAGATTCAGTTTGCAGGGCTTTACAAATGCACAGCTTAGTTTTCCGTGACTCTAAATTAGAAAAAAATGGAAAAAAGAAGAAAAAAATTGAAAACATTATTTTGAAGACTTGTAGCCAAGAAAAATTAGAATTCAGTCCAAACTATAGAAAATAATAAAATTGAAAAATATTAGGCAAGACTAGACTCTAACAACAGGTGTGCTATAGTCCTTGAAACAGTTTCTCTCTTTCCAGTTTTCTTTTCTCTTTTTTTTGAGATGGAGTCTCGCTCTGTCATCCAGGTTGGAGTACAGTGGCATGATCTCGTCTCACTGCAACAGGAGAATTCACGCCATTCTCCTGCCTCAGCCTTCCCAGTAGCTGGGTCTACAGGTGTCTGCCACCACACCCAGCTAATTTTTTGTATTTTTAGTAGAGACGGGGTTTCACCATGTTGGCCAGGATGGTCTCCATCTCCTGACCTTGTGATCCGGCTGCCTCGGCCTCCCACAGTGCTGGGATTACAGGCATGAGCCACCGTGCCTGGCCGAAACTTTGTAGTGCTTTTGAGACAGAGTAGAGACGGGGCATGGTTTCAGCTCACCCCCACTACAGCATCCTTTCATGCATCCCCACTGACACCTCTACCTTGCTGATGTATCCACTATTGCCAACGCGTTAGTCATACAAAGTAAATTGCCATTTTGTATTCATCTTCTGTGCTCTCACAATGTTTATCCAGGCCTTTTACTTAGAATTCCGGGAACTGGCCTTAGGAGGTCCAAAATATCAAACCAACATTGTGTGTGGAGTGTCCCTCCTCAGGAAAGAATACAGATTTGTTGCCATTGGCCAGACCACCTGGTGGTCCATTATTCAAGATAACCCTCACAACAAGATGCTGACCCGCACACCCTACCCCTCACGTGCTTTGCTCAGCCCAGCCTGCCTACCCTACCCGAGGTCAATTCCAACACTTTGCCTAAGAGAAAAACCCTGCAGGCTTTTTGCGGAGTCAGTCAGGGAACTCTCTCTTTCATTTGTGTTGTGTACCTTATGCCCAGGCATAAGCTCCAATGAAGCCTTGGTGGCAAATTCTTTTAGCATCATGTCAACTTCTATAGCAATGAGAGTCTAAGAACTTGTGGTTGGTAACCATTTCCCACTTTGATTCTGGGCTTAGTCGCATGACTTGCCTTGATCAGTAGGAGTCTAAGAGATACAAGACAAGCACAGGCTTGAAATGGGGTTGCACACGGGACTTTCCTGCTCTGCCACTGGCATGTGAGCAGACACAGGCTAGTCTGTGGGAAGTGAATCCTGCAAACCAGAGCTGAGTAACCCGTCACTCCAGCTGAGGTCATTGCAGGCTAGCCAACTGCCAATGGATCCCAAGGCCATCACAGATGCCTAGTTGACCTGCGGCTGACCAGACACATGAGTGAGCCCAGCTGAAACCACCCACACACAGCCTTGATCAGCTGAACCCAGGGCAGAGAGCCTGGCAGCTGTTTATTGCTGTATGCCCCTGAACTTTGGTGGTGGTCTGTCACACAGTATTCCGGCAATAGAAAACTGATACTATGGACACATGAATTTTAAAAATTGCTTTTGCCAAAACTGGCTAAGGAATATTTTTATTCTTCTGAGGGCAGTTAAGGTTTCTGATAAGGAGAGTCTGAACAGAGCACAGAAATCTGGAACTCCAGGAGTGGGGGATGCAGCATCAGATTTCATCTTGAATTTCCACTAAAATACTTTGTACTCACAGTGGAACTCAATAAAGATCTGTATTTCATCTGTGGCTCAATCTTCCCTCTGGGTCAAGTAGATGCTAAGCTGGACGTTAGCACGCCTCTTAACCATGAAGAGATCTAGCTAGACAGACAGACTCCACCATTTATGGAAGAAGAATTCAATTTATTCTCTATTTATAAAACATTTTTTAAAAGTGCCTTGGGTATAAAAATCTAAATGTCTGCGGTGTGATCGGTCAGTAGCATGTAACTATCACTCTTCACATCCTTTGGTCACTGGGAGATCCTTTGGGGCTGGGAGGTCCTTCTGTCCCAGGCTAAAGGAAGAGCTTCACAAGGGTAAGAGCCACAGAATCCTCAGCAAGAAAGGCGGGTCAGGGAGAATGAATGGTACAGAGAGGAAAGGAAGGAAAGGGGGTGGAACGGAGGTAGGAGGCAAGGAAGGGATGCCGCACTGGAGACCGATGGGGACACTCTGATTTGCAAGAGGGAAGATCTTCCTTCTTGAATGCTGAACACAGCTGGTCTGAACCTTCCTTGGAAAGTCCAGCTGTTTCCTCATGCATAGGGCCAACTCTCCCTGCAGAGCAGCAAACGTAGCTTCTATCAGGAAGGAAAAGTATCCATCAGTGTGACAAGAGGTCACCTTCGAACTTGCATGAACTCCTTGCGCAGCCACAAAGAGTCCTGGTAGAAGTGAGGGTCGCCTAGTCTTATGGCTGTCCGTTTATAGAAGTAGCAGTACAACACTGCCGCTGCAGGGAGGAAGCAGAAGAGAAGCCTCAGGGGTGCTCCTGAGTATCATTTCAGGTTAAGAACAGAACCTAATGAGGCTGGGCAGCTCTGCCTCCTGATTTCCCATGGTCTTCCAGCAAGGGCAGGGGCAGTAATCCCTCCTGTTCCTGGTGTGGCTGTTGCAACCATCCCAATCCAGCTGGGACAGGGCTGAGAAGCCGGAATCAAGGGCCTTACTGAAAGAGACACATGTGGGACCCAAGAGAGGCCTGATCTTGCTCTGGTCCTTACCTAGTCTCTGGAATACAAACAGCGTTTGAAGTCCATCTGTCCATATGAAGCTGTTGGAGTTTTTCCAGCGTAAGTTCTGAAGGAGATGTGAGACACACAAAAGTTAATGGCCACAAGAGGCCCTAATGTCTCTAACTTGGTTAGCTGCAGATGCCAGTTGGTTTAAAATCACGCTAACCTCTCCCTCCTTTCTACAACCCCAACGAGTGTTTCTCGAAGGAGCCTCAAGCTCCCTTTTTTGCTGCAAAGGGAATATCCTTTTAACTTTGAGGGAGGAAGTATGAACTAAGTTATTTATCCTCTTTCATTCCATAACCTTTGCCAAGGAGAAATGATATACTCATTATCTCAGGAGTTCAGCTGGTCACTGTCTTGCCTTGAAAAACGCTGGCTCAGCTCTTGTCAGATAAAGACTTTGGTGCACTCAGGGTTTAATGAGATTAACGGCTTTTATAGTACAAAGCTAGGACCTATTTTGGCTGCAGGAACCAGAGCACAGAATCCTCTTCAGGAAGCACCCAGAGACTCTGGTGTTGCTTTGCTTCTTTCCTGGGAGTTCTACTTCTCTCTGTGGAATCACAAGCGCAACCTAACAGGGGGTTCGGGTGGGAAAGTAGCTTTAATAATGAAGTGATAACTACAGAATCCTGAGGTTTTAAAGAGTTCAATTCAATCGAGTGCATGAGAAACATATAAGATATTCAAAGAGCTGGAAGAATTTGTGAAGCAGAAGAAATCTGAAACCATGGACACTGGATCTGATCTGAGGCCTATGTTAGAACCAAAGGGAGGCATCTTGGAGGCCGGTTCTCCTAGTTAAAGTGATGGGAGCTCGGCAGAGGGCATGGAGCGCTCAAGGGCAAGCAGCAATCCTGCTTGGCTACTTCCCAGAAATGTCCACTGCCTACAGCATTAGCCATGGGGCACTGATGCCTAAGAATAACCTGTATCGACATCCACCTGCCCAAATAACTAATGATGAAACACATTCAACTACCTGTTTTAGCCCTGGTAGGCCTGTTTGGGGCAAAGGTGAATTGCATGTTCTGGAAGAGTCCGGTGACTCTTGGACAAGGCTGTTTTTCAACACTTAAGGTTGGTCAAGAGCACCTTATGAAACTCTCACATGCCCAGAGCTCCAACTCAAACCACTTTCATTTCACCTGTTCTCTATGAAGGATTGCCTGAGATGTCAAAGAATGAAGCTGAGTTCCCAGAGAAAAGATATGCCAGTGGCCGGGTGCGGTGGCTCATGCCTGTAATCCCAGCCCTTTCGGAGGCCGAGGCGGGAGGATCACGAGGTCAAGAGATTGAGACCATCCTGGCCAACATGGTGAAACCCTGTCTCTACTAAAAATACAAAAATTAGCTGGGCATGGTGGCATGTGCCTATAATCCCAGGTACTCAGGAGGCTGAGGCAGAATTGCTTGAACCTGGGAAGCAGAGGTTGCAGTGAGCTGAGATTGTGCCACTGCACTCCAGCGTGGCGACAGAGCGCAACTCCGTCTCAAAAAAAAAAAAAAAGGAAAGAAAAGTTATCCCTAGCCCTTTAGGGATTCAGGAATTCAGAGTTCAGGCTGGGCACAGTGACTCACGCCTGTAATTCCAGCACTTTGGGAGGCAGAAGCAGGAGAATCGCTTGAGCTCAGGAGTTCGAGACCAGCCTTGGTAACATAGTAAGACCCCATCTCTATTTAAAATAAAAATTAAAAAAAGAATCCAGACTTCCACTCTTACCATGACCCAGACATGAAGGGAGATGCTGAGGGCAAAGTACACAGCTGTCAGGATGATGGTCCCTTTGAACTTATGGAATAGGAGGTTGACCAGGCCAGCCTGGAAGACGAAGGTGTTGAAGAACATGAGGAAAATGATGATGATGTTGAAGAGGACTGCAATATCCTGGATGCTGTAGACATAAAAAAAGTACAACCAATGGAGGCCTGTGTGAGGACCCCAGAGCAGGTACTATGTCCTGAGGGACACCACGAGGCCTGTCCTTTCCTGTGAGATAGGCATCTGACATCTTAAACCCTCACAGAGATAACATGGGTTTTGGGACCTGAATGACAGGAAGCTAAAATTACCTAAAATTACCCACTGGCCCCATCAGTTAGATTGCAGTCCATAGTCAAGGCTTTCCTGCTCTGATACTCTCTTTATTTTTAAAATTTCTTCCATACATAGTCCTATAGAAGATTCTCTGAGACTCTTCTTTTTCGAGACAGGGTCTCATTCTGTTGCCCAGACTGGAGTGCAGTGGTATGATCACAGCTCACTGCAGCGACTTCCTGGGCTCAAGTGATCCTCCCGCCTCACCCTCCTGAGTAGCTGGGACCACAGGTGTGTGCCACTATACTCAGCTAATTAAAAAAAAAATAGCTCATGCCTGTAATTCCAGCACTTTGGAAGGCTGAGGTGGGTGGATCACTTGAGGTCAAGAGTTGGAGACCAGCCTGGCCAACATGGCAAAACCCCATCTCTACTAAAAATAGAAAAATTAGCTGGGTGTGGTAAATTAGCGGGGTGTGATCGTGCACGCCTATAATCCCAGCTACTAGGGAGGCTGAGGCAGAATTGCTTGAACCCAGGGGGCTGAGGTTGCAGTGAGCTGAGATTGTGCCATGCCACTGAACTCCAGCCTGGTGACAGAGCTAGACTCCGTCTCAAAAAAAAAAAAAAAAAAAACAAACTATTTTTTAGTAGAAACAAGGCCTCACTATGTTGCCCAGGCTATCTGACACTCTTAACATTTTTTTTTGTTTTTGGAGATGAAGTCTTGTTCTGTTGCCCAGGCTGGAGTACAGTGGCATGATCATGGCTCACTGCAACCTCTGCCTCCCAGGTTCAAGCAATTCTCCTGCCTCAGTCTCCCAAGTAGCTAGAATTACAGGCATGTGACACCACGCCCATCTAATTTTTGTATTTTTAGTAGAGATGGGGTTTCTCCATGTTGGTCAGGCTGGTCTCGAATTCCTGACCTCGGGTGATCTGCCCACCTTGGCCTCCCAAAGTGTTGGGATTACAAGTATGAGCCACCGGGCCTGCTTTTTTTTTTTTTTTTTTTTTGAGATAGGGTCTTTGTCACCTGGTTGGAGTACAGTGGCATGATCATGGCTCACTGTAGCCTTGAACTCCTGGGCTTAAGTAATCCTTCTACCTCAGCATCCTGAATCACTGGGATTACAGGTGTGTGGCACCACGCCTAGCTAATTTTGAAAATTTTTATTAGGTAGGGACAGGGTCTTGCTATGTTGCCCAGGCTGGTCCTTAAACTCCCAGCCTCAAAAGATCCTCCTGCCTTGGTCTCCCAAAGTCCTGGGATTAAGGGTGTGAGCCACTGTACCCAGCCTACTAATAACTCTAGACACTAAATCACCACTGTCAGGGCCTTTGAATTGCTTGGGTTCAGCTTTCCAGAGTGCCTTACTGCACGCACATGAAGAGCACAAGCTGGATGACAGGAGCCTTTCGGAGCAGTTCTGAGAAGGAATTGACAAAGAGGTCATAGGACAGCAGCAGGAACTGCAGCGAGAGCACCAGGCTGTAGTTACTGGTCTGGAGCATCTTCCTTCTGTTTTCTTGGGCCCCCAAGGGCACATCCCACAGTTCCCAGAAAACAGCTCCTGGCTCTCTCCCTACCACTAAGGGAGATGCTTCTAGTTCCTTTGAATCAGAGCTGTTTCCCTTGCTCTAAGGCAAGCACCTGTTGGGGCGAAAAAATAAGCAAGGTTAGAAGTGTATTAATACCATAAACATTTACTGAGGACCTACTGTGTGCCAGGTACCACTCCAGTCGCATGGGATACTTTAGTGAAAAAACCAACAACCAAAAATCCCCAAGAAGTCATTTATTCTAGGACCTTCACCAACTTTTCTCCATGCCTGGAACCTTCTAAATGCAGAGCTGTCTCTAACCAAAGGAACCTAGTAGTAGTATTGAGAATAATGACTGCCTGGTCATGTAGTAGCAGCGGTAACAAAAATGGCAGCAAATCCTTACACATTGCTTACAATGTGCCAGGGGGTGTTCTACAAGCACTAACATTATTTAAACCTCACAAGGTAGATGATATAATACATTATTACCTTCTCCATTTTACAGATGAGAAAACTGAGGCCAAGAGAGGTAAAATAATTTGTCCAAGGTCACATCGTTAGTAAGTAGCAGAGATGGTATTCGGATGCAGGCTGCCTGGGTCCACAGTCTGTGCTCTTAACTACTAGACTTAAGCTGTCTCTTACAGAACTAATAGACCGATACTTAACTAGGCAGGAAAAATGCCGGCACAGAAGTGTGAAGTGCCTGTGTGAAGTGCGGTAGGCAGAAAAAGCAGAGAGGAAATAGGGGTCTCCCGGAAGGCTTTATCTTTAGGGTTATGGTAGCAACACAGTGGCAGTTGTTTCTTTTCATCTATTCCAAGACCCACAGGTTGCTCTGGGGGTGTCCTATGACCCTGCTGCTGTGCCAAATCTATAAAGAAATTTCAAAATGCTTTGAGTATTAGCGATTAAATTAGCATCGGTAAAATGTTTTGCAATGTATAAGCTCTTTTCATATTTCTAACCTTACTTAATCCTACAACCATCTTGAGAAGTAGCCATTATAATGTATATTATCCCCATTTTACACAGAGGCTCCAGAGGGTTAAGGCACCTCCTCCACCTCAGCTGGTGAAGTCCCACCTTACTGGATGTATGTACGCGGTTTCCTCATTCATTTT